CGCCTGTCTCCTTCACGTTAACACACTTAACTCAGTTCAGACCTCCCCTCCTCCAGGGGCCCCTCCCCACTCTCTCCCAGGTAGGCTGGGTTGGGCCCCCTTTTGTGTTGCCATAGCAACCGGCAAGTATGGCTATGGGAGCACTGCACCGTGGCACTTAGCTGCTACCTCTGCACCACTCTTTCTTAAAGGGATAAAAAGGAACAACTGAGGGTGTGCCCCACCTGTCTGACGGGACTGGGCCCCACCCCACAGGGCTCCAGCGTGGTCTAGAGGCTGAGGAGTGGGAGAATGATGGCACGCAGAAGAGGCACCCAGCCAGCCTCCTCTCTCCTCTTACCTCATGTGTCTGTGGGTTCTCTACGATGCAGCCATAGCTGAGGGACTGTGTCCTGTTAGCCTGAAAGACAGACACTCTGAGACAGTGACCAGCCTGCTCCAGGGCAGCAAGGTCTGTTTTCTCTTTCTTGTTTTCCCTCCCCTACAGCACCCGGCACGCAGCTCTGCGGCTCCACCACTGACAAGCCTTCAGCTGGGGTGAGAACTGACAGCTGCCCTCCCCTCCTGCTTCTAAGCAGCCGAGGGGCTCAAGGGCTCTCTCCACCGCCACCTCCATTACTGCTGGGGTTTCTGGCACCCCTCCCTCCTGACGCGCATTCCCATTGCAACTCCCTGGCCTGTCCCTGCCTCCCCACGCCCTGCATTCCAGGAACCTCTTTGGATCGCTCCCTCGACCCCCTCCAGCTCTCCAGGGTCCCTCACCGTGGTCCCCAGGAGCAAGAAAGGGTGAGGCTGCTGTCTGTGGGCAGCCAACATGGCGTTCAAGGGGAAGTCGGAGCAAACATCAGCGTTGAGCACGAAGAAGGCCTCGGGGCCCCCTGCCAGGATCTGGTCCCGGAAATGGTAGAGACCACCTCCTGTGCCCAGAGGGGCAAATTCCTGCAGGTACCTGTCCCCCAGGGACCCCAGAGCCAGCTCAGTGAGATAGCAGGAGACAGACACCTTGAGCCTGGGAACCGACCCCTCCTATTCCCAGGATACACCTGCCCAAGGCCCACAGAGAAACTCAAAATATACAGAGATTCTGGAATGCCCAAATAAGAAACCTCCTAGGGTGTGAGGGTGACTTCTGGCAAATGCTGACTTGACCTACTGCACAGGACTCAGAGAACTCAGAGGCCTAGGGCTCCCCTACCCCATGCAGCACATGCGCACAAACACCTGACCTGACTGGAAGGTTAAACTCCTGCTGGGCAGCTTCTAGGAACCGGGTAAGTGGCTCATCAGGTTGGTAGAAGCCAATGAGCAGAATCTCCTGCATCCCAGGGACCTGAGGACAAGGGAAGAGGTTAAGAGAAAAATAACATCTTATAGGAAGGAAAGACAAGAGTGAGAAATCCCTGGTACTGGCCCCAAATTCAGAAACCACAGTTTCAGTCTCAGCTGTGGCCCTGGGCCACTCATGTTCCAAGCTGGCCTGATTTCTTCTCTGGAAAACGAGGAAGCTAGAAAGTCTGTCACTGATCTTTTCATCTTTTTTTATTCCGTTGGGCTGACCAAAAAGTATGTTTAGGTTTTTTTCCCCCCTAAAATAAAATATACACTTCACCAATAACTTTATTGATGTGGATATTTTGAGTACGTCAGCTATCTCCTATGTGGTATAATGCTGATTGTTTCTCAGTCAACAGCTCGGTTTGATAACTGTCAACTTCAGCTGGTCTACCTGGCCATGCAGCATTATCCAGCAAGAAGTCTCCAGCACAAAACTTCACAAACCACTTTTGACACTTTTGATCAGTCACAGCACCTTCTCTCTACACTGCACAAGTCTTTTTCTGTGTTTCAGTTGTTTTTACCCTTCTTCAAATAATACCACATAGTCCTGGCTGGTATAGCTCAGTGGATCGAGCATGGGCCTGTGAACCAAAAGATCAAGATCCGATTCCCAGCCGGGGCACATGCCTGGGTTGCAGGCCAGTTCCCATCAGAGGACGCATGAAAGGCAACCATACACTGATATTTCTCTCCCCTCCTTTCCTTCCCCTCTAAAGATAAAGAAATAAAGTCTTTTTTAAAAATCTCCTTTAAAAAAATAATAATAACACATGGTATGCCAAAAATGTGTATTTTCTTCTATCTTCCATATGAAAATGGCTACACAAAATTTCACCAATTTTGATAAGTTTTTTTAAATGCATGCTGAGACCCTGGCTGGTATGGCTCAGTGGACTGAGTGCTGGCCTGCGAACCAAAGGGTCACCAGTTTGATTCTCAGTCAGGGCACATGTCTGGGTTGTGAGCCATGTCCCCAGTGCGGGGCACACAAGAGGCAACCACAGATTAATATTTCTCTTCCTCTTTCTCCCTCTCATCCCCTCCCTCTAAAAAGAAATTAAATCTTTAAAAAAAATTTTTTTAAATAAATGCATGCTGATATGACAGCTGTCATAATACAATCTAACAAAATTGTTTCAAATGAAATTAAAGACAACTAAGCAATACTTGAGCCATTTTACAGAAAAAAAACAAATGACATTTTCTGCCAACCCATCCCCCCACCCCCACATCTGAAGTGAAGCTCACCCTAGGAAAGATTTTTGTCTACCAAGCTGCATTAAAGGATAATCCATTCATCCCTTCATATTTATTATCTGTCAATTTGAGCTTGAGATCAGCATGAGATAAGGATGCCATTTATCAAGTGCCTACATTGTACTACTTACTTTGCAAATATCTCTAAGCTTCACAACCCCACAAAGTAGGTCTAATCGCCCCACGTTACAAATAGGAAAACCTAGGCTGAGAAAGGACAAGAAATTTGCTCAAGTCCTTTTAGCAGGCAGGGACTGGGCTCAAATCAAAACCTGGCCAGTCCCAGCACCAAAAGCAATAAAGAAATTAACTCCATAGTAAGCAAGGGTAGTGTGATTCTGTGCTTTGTTATCATGAAGGTTTCCCATGCTACGGCTCTAAGTTGTCTCTAAGATTCCTGCCTAATTTCACATTCCATGCTTTAAATATAGGAGTGGAACCTAAGCAAGAAGGGGCCAGATGACAGACTAGATTATAAGACAGCAAGACAGCTGCAGCGCACAACCCGGGGGAGGCGCATTCATAGCGTCATTTGTAAAACGTGGTCCCTGGAGTTACACCTGGTGGGAAGAGGTCATGGTTGGAAAAGGGGGAAATACGGCGCGCGAAGGAGGTGAGCCGGAAGTGGAGTGCAAGAGGGGCTCCTATTGGGTTACCTGGGCACAGGCCTCGATGTGGTGCTGGATCATAGGGACCCCGGCCACTGGAAACAGGGGTTTGGGCACCTCAAAAGACAAAGGCCTGAAGCGAGTCCCTGAGGGAGGAAAGAGCAGCACATTTCAGCTTTCTGCTTCCCTCTGCCCCCACCCCGCCAACCAGTCCGGCCCAACCCCCTCCCCCCATTTCCCGGGCTCCTCACCCTTTTGAGGGCCTCCGATCAGGATCACAGCTTTGAGCATGACAGCGGCTGCTACCTAAACCTCAAATCCCAGAGAAATCAGGCTCGTCTCACACCCAACCCAGGAACCCCACTCATACCCAACCAAACCCTGAACCCAAAATAGTATCACTGAGTCTTCTCTCTCCCAGGATTTAAACCCAAGATTCGGTATAGTTCCTCGCTGGGCACAACACCACACAAACCTCAAATCCCAAATTAATTTCAGTCAGCCTTCAAACCCCACAGTGATCCCTCCCAAATTCTGAAATCCATACCCTGCAACTGATCCCTAATGGACAGACTTCCATCTCCCCACCAACTCAGCAAGCTCAGAAACTCAGCAACAGACCTCCTTCAAACACCCAAACCTTAAAAAAACCAAAACCCCAAGCCACTGATTTCCTAATTGGCCCATCCTCATTTTAGATATTAAGCCCTAATCCCAACAGTGAACCCTGATACTGAACCTCAAATCCCGAGTGAGCATTAAATATTTAACTACAGTCCTAAGCATTAAACTAACCATTATCTGCATTTGATAAATCCAAACCTGATAAATACGATGAATCTAAATCTTAAAATTAACCTCTAAGTGGTGAACCCCGAATCAATAGACAGGTTCCTTTGGCATCCTAAACACAATGTACCAATCCCCTGAGTCCCAAAAACTGCCAAGTGCTGAATCTGCGGATTCAGAGGGCTGACTGCCGACTCTCTGAACCTCACGACTGTCTAATAAACCCTAACGCGTATCGGGAGGTTATGGGACTAGCACAGCACCCGACGTGTGGAGAGCCGGCCGGGACCTCCGAGCCGCCCTTCGTCTAGGAGTTGTCCCTGCCCTGAACCCCTTTCGCCCCCGCATCAAACCCTTTTACCACTAGTGCCCTCTATTCCAGCTCTGCCACCGGCTATTGCTTGCTCCTTCCGCGCACGTGTCTTCTCGCAATACGCGAGAACTTCGCAAAGTCTGCCGGGAATTGTAGTTCTGAAGTTCCTTACCCCCTCTTCTGAGAGATGGAATTTGTGGGAGAACGTGGGGGCGTGGTCATGGATTCAGGGGGTGGGTCTAAGTGAGAAGAAGGGTGGAGCCTAAGAAGCAGAGGTTGGAACCCGACTTAGGACCACGAGCTGTCTGGAAATGGGCCCAGGGGTAGCAGCCAAAGTAGAGGACTAGGTCACAAGGAGAAGCGAGGCTGGAGACAGGAGGGGATGGAGTCACCCTTGAAACAGACTGGCTAGCGCGCAAACTCCCCAGGAGAGGGTGAGGCTTGAGGTATACAGCAGGAGAGAAGGCGAAGTCATAGACGCCCCCGCCCCTCCCGCAGGAACTGAAGGACCTTCCCAACGCGACAGAAGCCTCTGTCAGACTCACTGTCTGTAAAGTATGACAAGGGCCTAGGCGCTCTCCAAACTTCCCGCTGACCCAGCATTTTGTGACTTTGGTGTGTGGGTCTGGAATAAGTGTGTGTGCGGGTGCCGGGGAGTGGAAACAGCGACTCCAAAGAAGAGAACAGACGCGAAGGGTCCGAGGGAGCAGCTTTATTAAGCAAGTTGGCGGGGGAGGGGCTATTGGTGCCACCCACCCCTGGGCTTGGAAACGGAGCGAAAGTTCCGAGGGTCCCTTTCAGGCCACGTCCACGCGAGCGAAGCTCTGGTCCATACCCAGGCAGTTCTCCACGTACACCTCGTACTTGCCACTGTCCTGGGGTGTGGCCCGGCGGATGGTGAGCACGGTGGTGGTAGTACCGATCTCGAAGAACACCCTGCGGGGGAAGGAGAGGCGGGGCGGGGCGGCAGGTCAGGTTACGTGCTCGGCTGGCCCGGCCACTTGGCCAGATCTGTTCTTCCCTTCCCAGTTCCCCACCCTGGTCCTTCTCCCTCGGGTTTTCTATGTCACATCCGGCCCGGGCTCCTGCGCCAGGCCCTGCCCTGGCAGCAGGTCCCCGCCCTCGCCTGTCATCCTCTTCGATGTCCACGCCGTCCTTGGTCCAGCCCACGTCGGGCGCAGGCTCGCCCAGGATCTCCGCAGTCAGCGTCACCGTGGCGCCTCTGCGCGCTTTAGTGTTATCCGGTCCCTTCTGAATTTTCGCCGGGACTAAAGGAAGGCACAGGGAATGCGACCCAGTGAGGGACCTAAAGGTTAGTTGGGATATCACCCTCCCAGCTAATACCCGGCCATAAATAGGAGACCAATTTAAACTCCCACCGTTACCTCGAACAAGTCTTTAGCCTCTCAGGGGCTTCAGCAACTCGGCTATTAAAGGAGACTAAACCCTGCCTCTACTACTTTTTTAGGATTGAATGGAAGTCAAAAGAGATACTAAGTCTCTTCCCGGGTAGCTCAGTTGATTAGAACACGTCTTGATACACCAAGGTTGTGGGTTCAATTTCTGGTCAGGGCACATCCAAGAATCAACCAAAGAACGCGTTAATAAGTGGAACTATAAATCAATCTCTCTCTCTCCCCCCCCCATCTCTAAAATCAATCAGGTGTGGTCGTTTGTTGTTTTTTTTTTAAACAAAGAGAGAAAGATACTATAGGTGAAAGCTCTGGAATGTTCACATGCCTCGGGGTCCCTTGGAGACAGTTCTGGGTGGTGGAAATTGCTTTGGAAGACCAGGGCTCTCTCTAACCCTGGCTCTGTCTCTGGATCCCTGTGACCTTGGGGCCCTGAAGTCAAGTGACTGAAATCCACAACGGACTTAGCCCGGGTGAGTGAGTGAAACCCATAGCGGACTTTTCAGCCTGGTGGGACAGGATTCCGAGGTAGGAAAGGACTACTCAGCCCCTGCAGCGCTGCACCCTGCTCTGTGCCTCAGGCTGTGCCAGGGGCTGGCGGGGGCGCGCGGGGGGGGGCACATCCTCCTACAGACTCGACCAGGCCCAGGGATAAACACGCCGCTGACCCCGCCTGAGGACGCCTGTGCTGCTCTGCGCGGCAGCATTGCGCCCGGAGCGTGCGTACCTTCCACGAGGATGCGCGCGGAGTCGGAGCACTGGCCGAAGGGGTTGGTTACGTTGATGCTGTACTGGCCCAAGTCCGCCAGCTCGCCGTCGCGCACCACCAACGCGACCACGTCCGGGTCCTCAAAGACGTAGCGATACTTGGGCCCGTCGCGCAGCTCCTTGCCATCCTTGCTCCAGCGGATGAATGGGTCCGGGAAAGCCGAAATGCGGCAGGTCAGCTTGGCCGCGCTGCCCTCGATCAGCACTACGTCCTTCAGTGGCTCCAGCACTCGCGGCGGCCCCTTCTCCCGCAGTTCCTTCCGGGACCTACCCGCGGGCAGGGTCAGGGCCCGGAGCTCCCCGGACACTGTCCCCACTCGCCCGCAGCCTTGTCTGCCCGCACACCTTCCCCCGCTTGCCCCCTTGGCCCACTAGACCCTTACACACCGAGGATGGGGAGGGAGAGGGATCGCTCCTGAATCGCTACCCTAATAGAATGGTCTACTCTTGTGGGCCACCCTTCCACACCGCAGTAGCTGCTGTGCCCTCGCCCCGCTGACCTAGCAGTGCACCGCACTGTGCTCGGTACCGCCCTTCCCCGACGCAGGAGTGCGGTTTCTGCAGCCCCAGTTCGCTTCCTTCAGAGGCTCCAGGGCCTCCCCTCACCTGTGGCCCCGGTAAGAGGCCTGGATGCGAATGGCCGCTTTCTGGACCTGGGGGTCGTTGATGTCCAGGGTACATCCCGGAGGCGGGGCCGTAGCCACCGGTTTTTTGGCGGGAGCTGCTTTGGACATCTGGGGAGCAGAAAACAAGCACGGGGGTCTAGGCTGACCCAGACACTGCGACCTCCAGTCTTTGCCTCCGGATTCAAAATAGCCCGGGTATGGAAGTGTCTCGGGCTGGTGTGAGGTTCGGGACTCACCGTGGGGGTAGGGGGCGTCGACTTCGGGACTTAAGTCCAACTAGCTGGGTAGCGGGCGGTAGGGAGCCCTTCCGGAAGGCACGGTAGGGGCGCGGGCAGGTGCTCAGCCCTGGGCCTTGGTTTTATACTTCGCTCCCCTCCTTGCCTTGTTTGGCGTGATTGCCCCGAGCCCCCCGGGACCCCAGCCCCCGCCCCCTGACCCACGCAGGCTCCTTATTTAGCCCGAGGATGCCTAGGATGCTGGCTCAGCCGCTGGGACAGGCCGGGGGTGGGGTGGGGGAGGAAACCCGAGCAGCTCTGAGATGCACTGAGCGTCAGTGCCTGGACAGCTGGGCAGCTGGACGCGGCCCCATCCCCTCCCAAGGCAGGCGGTATCCATCCCACCGCCGAGAGGACCAGACGAGGCCCCAAGCCGACAGGAGATTCAGCTCCCAGCCGGGGCAACTTGACACTCAAGTGAGTCCCTGGACAATGGGACAATGGGCCCTTCCCCAAACACAGTAGGTTAAGGGGTTTGAGTGTTCGCGGGGGTGTCCCTCAATGAAGTCAGACTAGCGGAGGACTTAACTGTCCATCCGGCCAATTATAACAGGGCCACGTGGCTGTCGAGACCAATCCCGGAGCGCCTTAACCCCCCCCCCCCGCCCCGCCCCGCCCCAAAGTCTGCGGTCGTCTTTTCCGCACAGTGCCCCCTGGCGGTAAATTGAGATCAACCTAGAGGGGACGGAAAAGGGTTTTGAGAACCGCGTCCTTCCCTGCCACCTCCGTCTCCACTCACTCTCCTCCAGCTGACACGGTGGGGTGTGGCTGGGCTGCACTGTCCCTGGAGGTGGACGCTAATGCTGACTCAGCGACTTTAGGTCGTTCCCAAGCCCGTGTGGGGGCAAAGCTGACGCATAGGGGCATCGGAGCGCCAGGGGCGAAGGGGTCCGGTTAGCAGCTCTGGGGCCTGCCTGGAGTCAGGCCTCCCCAGGCCAGGTACAGAATTGCTGGCGTTCACGGTGACCGCAAACCCAGGCGTGGTGCACTGTCACCTTTTGATCAGAGCAATTTTGACACAGCTTTGCTGACATAAATTACCTTTGCTCCTCAGGGTTTGGAGCAAGCAGTTCACATGCCATTTCCAATGGAGATGGGAAAAGAGCTCAAGCTCAGAGGGGGGACGGGAGAGGGATATTACCATTTATCAAGATATGAGTTCAGGCACCTCATTTTTATATGAAAACATTTGCAGTGAGTAGGGAATTACAGATTCTCACAGGCAAACTGTATATCTTCATCATTAAAATGACAGTTGAGCAAGGCAAGGCATCTGTCTGGTCCCTTCCAGCTGCTTTAACATCCTATTATTTTGTAACATTTTTAAAATTTATTTATTGCATTGAGAAAGAGAAACATCGATTTGTTGTACCACATGTTTATGTATTCATGGGTTGATTCTCATATGTGCCCTGACCAGAGGTCCAACCCAAAACCTTGGCGTATACAACTGAACTATCTGCCCAGGGCAACATCCTGTTATTTTATGATGATGGGGATTGCCTATTTCCTAAGATCCTGGGAGGCCAGAGAGGCTGGGCTGGGCTGGGTGGAGAGTTGTTTGGGCTCCAGCCAAGGAGCCGTCAAACTCGATCAGCAAAACACCAGCACCAGCCCTCTCTGCTCACGGTAGGAGCTTTGTTCTTATCACTTTGTCAAGAACAGTTTTCCAGGGGTGAAGTGGGGAGGACAGTCCCTTTGGACCCAAGGAGAACTAGCTCCCTCCTCTCCCCACCTCAGGGCAAGGCAGCTCAGTTCTGGAGCCCCGTGACCATTCTCTCTGCACTGCGGCTGGAGCCAGGGCGCCTTCACACCCAGCAGACCCTCAGCTTGCCGTGGGGATCAGAAGGCCCGGGCTGAGTGTCCCTGGGGCCTAGGAAAATGCTTGTCTGAAGCACCATCACTGCAGACAGACCTGAGGGCTCACATCTGCCCTGTGCAGCTGGTGCCCTGACTGGAGCCCTCACACTGGGAGCAGGGGCCTGGGCCCGGCCCAGTCTCCTCTGCAGCTCTTCACACCACCTGCCCTCACAATCATCATGCTAAACCCCTGGCTCCGGGGGCCAGGACCAAAGCTGGGAAGTACTAGGGAAAGAAGGCTGAGCCAGGACTAGGGTGTGGGCCGGTCCATTGCAGAGTCTCACATCCTCCCAGGTATGTTGATGGGACGGGTAAGAAGAGGTGGGGGCCACCAGAGTCTGGTTAGAGGGTAATGGTGGGGATTCAGTGGTCCTGCTAGGATTCTGGAAACTTCAGGAGAAGCAGATCGAAGTCTCTCCTCTGTTTAGGAATAAGGAGAGGTAAGGGGTCAGGAGGGTCAGGGAGGGAGGAGGAAGGTCTGAAGGTGCTACCTGGTACACCTGGGCTCTCCCTGGCCCAGATCGGGCTGAACTGCGCCTGTCCCAGCACCCTGCACTCCCAGCCATCTCTGCCCACAAACCACACACAGGTCCTGCTGCTTGCTGTTTTTATTTCTCTTGTGACAGACAGACAGACAGCTGCACAGACAGCTGGATGGCTGGGGGGATGGTCAGGACAACATGAGCAATTAGGATTGGATGGAAGGGAAACTTCATAAAAGTCAATAAATAAATAAATATGAATGGGAAGAAGGGCGAAGGCCACGGCGGGCCAGTGGGGACGTCCTTGGGCCAGCACCGAGCCCAGAGCTGCACCCACTGGGGCACCAGGAGAGCGCTGGCTGGAGTGACCGCTGCTTCCCGCCTCCAGCCGTCTTCGCTTCTTCCTCCAGGACACTGGCAGCTGGCCCACCCCATCTCCACCTGAGTCCTCGCTCCTCTCCCTCCCTCACCTCACTGCCCTCTCTCACATGCGGCCTCTGGCACCCTGACACTGTCTTCACATCCTGTCCCTGCTTCACTGACACTTCCAGCCCATGGCCTCGACACCCTGGGCTCCTTCCTCTTCCACCTCTTCAGCCACTCACACCCTCCTCGGTGGGCTCTCCCCGAGATGCAGTCCCCCCAACCCCGGAACCTTCCTGCGGTCTCCCATCCCTCTCTCTCACTTCCCCATTCCGTTTTTGCCCCTCTTCCTGCTCCCGACTCCACCCAGCCTGGCCAATGAGTCTCCAGCTCTGGCTCAGGCCTGGTGACACTGGCCACAGCCCTGGGCCTCTGTCCCGGCAGGTCCGTGAGGTAATAGCCCGGCTGGATGTTGTTGCTGCTGGTGGTGTCCGAAGCCCTGAGCCCACCCAGCTCAGCGTGGGCCCTGGAATGTCCCGCTGCATCAGCGGGAGCCCCGAGGGGAAGCCCAGGCCGGGCTGTGGTCCGAGCCACTAGGGGCCGCCTGGGTAGGAGCGGAGCAGCACCTTGTGACGGGTGGCGGCCTCGGCCCTGCGCCGCCGCTGCTCACCCAGGAACTCCTTGAGCCGGTTGGTGGTGAAGGTGAGTGTCTGGCGGCGCAGCTTCATCAGGTAGGCATCCTGCAGCCATGGGTGAGCCAGGCAGTCCTGCAGGGAGGGCCGGCTCCTGCCAGGCCCAGCCAGACGGTGAGCCTGGCGAGGGGCGGGGCTCTGTCCTCCCCTGTGTCTGAGTCCCAATCTGGATTCACCCCTAGTGAGTGACTCTGGGCAACTCTGGGGCAATCTCTGGAGTGGGGACAGGGGTTCTGCTTATGTTATAGGGCTGCTCTAGGTTTTCAATGGTGGGTAGTACAACCATTTAGCAGCAGAAGCACAACAGTGTAATTATCAGGGGCAGGGGAAGAGTTGGGGAGTCTTAGCCATGAACTGGGCCCGAGCAGCCTGAGGCCGGGCACAGGTAATGCTGGGGGGTTTCAGGTGTGGGGCCCACTCACCAGGGATGTACTGAGAGGACCTTTCGCAAGAAGAGGGTAGCGCTTTGGGAGGTGTTGGGGTACAACTGGAAGGCATCAAAGCGGCCCCCCACAATACGAGCCTCCGTTTCCTGGGGGTCTGGCTCATAGAACGGGGAGCGTCCACTGAGCCTGTGGTGGAGACAGTTCAGTTGAGCCCTGTGAACGGAGACTCAATTCACAGGTCCACGGGGACAGCAGTGTGGGCGTTCTAAGGGGCACAGCACTCAGGGGCAGGGATAAGGGACCTGGGCATACACGCAGGTGTGCACACATGCACCTGTGCACACTCACGTGTGCTGGGGAGGTGCAGAGAGGGGGAGAGGGTATAGGCAGAAGGTGGGTCCTGGGGGCACTCACATGATGTAAGTGAGCACACCCGCTCCCCAGATGTCTGTGGCAGAGCCGATGGGGTCTCCCTTCACCATCTCAGGAGCTGACAGAAGACAGAGTACAAGTTGAAGAAGTTTCCTGGTGGCAGGGAAGTGGGGGAAAGACTGGGGAGGTCCCTGGGGGCTTGAGGAGCAGAACACTGTCCAGGTCACCAGACCATGGGTCTGACCAGAGCAGCAGGCCCTGGATGACAGAAGTCCAGATGGGGACCCAGGTGGCCCTCAGGGGAGATGTGGCCCAGGCACCGAGTGGTGGGGGTCACCCAGACCATGAAGTTGCTGAGAACCAGGGATGCTTGGCCCCCTGGGTCAGCTCTGACCTAGGTGCCCATTCACAATGAACGTGGCCGGCACAAAGATTAAGACTCTTTGAAATCAGCCTGTCTGGCTCCAATCCCAGGCCTGCCCGCTGAACTACAGGACCCTGGGCAATGTACTAAACCTGCCCGGTTCTCCATCTCCTCATTTGTAAAGTGCGGCTTTCGGACTAACTCTAAAGGATAGAGATAATGAACATAAAGTATTTAGCAGGTAGCTGAATGGTAGCTGGTTTTCCTCTTTTATATAAATTAATAATTGATTCTCCTATCTTTCCAGCTTTATCAAATCCTGGCTTGACTATTTAAAACTGTCTAACATGGAACAAATAATTTCATCATGCCTCTGTTTCCTCATCTGTAAAATGAGAGTAATGTTATGCCAATCTCCTGGGCTACCGTGAGGGTAAATTGAAAAAAAAAAAACAACTCGTGGAAAGGATTGTTCCTTGCTTGCATACAGTAAGCACT